GAGGATGAGGAGGAGGGCGAGGGGGGGAGCAGTTTTGCTTATTAAAGGTCCGGAGCCGTCGGCAGCCAATCAGCGGGGAGGTTCCATTTTGTTTTCGGTGCGAGAGGCGGGCGGGCGGTGCGGTGCCCCCGGCGCTCGGCGGGCGCGGGGCCGGGCGGAGCGCGGCGGGCGCATGGCGCGGCCGTCCCGGGGCGCGGGGCCGCGGCGGCTCCGCGAGCGGCCGCGCCATTGGCTGCGGCCGGGGCAGCGCGGCGGGCGCAGCCAATGGGAGCGCGGCTTCCATGGGGCCTGAGCTATTAGACGGCGGGGTAAAAGCGCGGCGCGGCAGACGCGGCCAAGGAAGGGCCGCGGGACCCGCAGCCATTTTTCTGCAGTGGAGCGAAATGGCCAAACCGGGCTCTTCCTTTGTTCCACAAAGAGGGGGAATCCGCCATGTGAATCCGCACCGCGCGCGGTGGTGGGAGCCTCCATAGCGCGGGTGCCAGACGACCCACTGAAGAAGGAAGATTTATAAAAATAATGCCAAGCCCTTAACCAAAAAAAAAAAAAAAAAAAAAAAATTAATGCGGACTTTTTTTTTTTTTTTCTATCTCCTCCCTTATGATTCGGGATCCATCTTTGTCTTGTGTAACTAGGTCACGGCACACCCTATGTCAGCAGTTAACAATTTCGATTGCCAACCAAAAAAGAAAAGTAAATACATGATTTTTATTTTTTTGTTGTTGTTTTGGGGGTTTTTAAGCTGCAAGCAGCTCTGATGGCTGAACAATAAATTTGAGAGATTGATCTCCTGTGTTAAAACACTTGATTCCTGGCCATTTTTATTAACTTCTTTGGTGCTTAAAAGGTAACGTTTTAAATACAGGTATAGGTAGGAATGGTAAATTCTGGTAAAAAGTAAGGTAATTTTACTATGATAAGCTTTTTTTTTCCTTTTCTCTTAAGTTGTAAGTACCCAATCCATTCTGTCCTTGCTAAGTGTAGTTTTCATGTTAATGTTACTGGAGTGGTCCTTATTGCTAAGCCTTCATTTGCATGTCTTATGTTTTTGTCTGTTTAAACCAATTTATGCTTTTTTGAAATATTTTACTTATAAAGCAAAATACCTAGCTAAGCTATGCTTAAAAGCTGTTTAGAATCAGTAAATGTTAACTAGGTGTTTTCATACTGACATGTGCAGCCTAAATCTATTGAGGAGAATATTTTTAGTGTCTGCGTGCTCTGTGGAAAAACACTGAACGTCTTTTTTATGTACAGAGTAAATCTGCCACAGGAAGGTAGATTTAAGCCTTGAGCAGGAGTCCTTGCTGCGTACAGTCAGTCAACATAGCTGGACAACTTTTTCTAGATTTTTTTCCCCCTTTTTTTCTGTTTTTTTTTTATGCTAGACCACTGCCACACAAAGATCCGTAACTTAACAAGATCCGCTTTGGCTTGCAAACTTACAAGAGAAGTGGTGATACAGATCATATATATTTATAGCCATTATTTTAAAAAAGAGTAACAACTTCACCTTCAGAGCTGCATTCAACTATGGTGCGCGGGTAAGTAAGTAAAACCCTTTTGCCCTTGCAGAGGAACATATAGCCCAGGCCTGTGGCTAATGGTATTGTCCTGGATGGAAAGATCCCAATGGTCGTCTGGAAGCGGTGGCGATCTCCTTCTCCTCAGAAACATCTAAAAGTGCCTCTGAAACGTCTGTTCTCAGGGAAGGATTTGATTTCTCTTTCTGCACAAAGCTCTTGGTCCGTCCTCAGCCCTGGGTGGTTGGGTTTTTTTTATGCGGAGAAGCGCTGTGGATCCATTGCAGGCGTTACGTGGCGTTAACTTGAAAGCACCAAAAAAAATAAAAAATCTGCCTGTGAACAGTAAGATGTTAGTGAGGTTGACGTTAAAAAAAGCGAGAAGGCGGTGGTGGTGGTGGTAGGGATCCCTTACATGTTTTATCCGTCTAATTACAGAAGCTCGACAAAAAAACAGGCAACAAAATGGGAGGGGGTGTTTTTCATGACGGTGAGTCTTAATGGCAGATGTCTCACTAGAAAGCACTGTAAAATCCTTCATACCGAGAGGCAGTGACTTGGAGAGAGGGGGCAAAAAGGAGGTCTGGAAGTAAATCCAAAATGAGGGAGTTTCCTTCCAAGTGAGGGACCCTTTGCAGCCTGAGTGTTACAGATGGAGGAGCCGTGACGCAGTTGATATTCACAAGCGGTTGTGCTTTAGTGCCGCCACCCAGCCCACGAAATGGCCTCCCCGCCGAAGTCTGGTGGGTTTATTATGTGAGAGGCTGCGGCAGCACCATGTCCCGGGCGGCGGGAGGGGCGGCCGGCGGGCGGGCACGGCGCTCCCGGTCGCGCTCCGTGCTGTGTGGGGACAGCCGCCATCATGGCTTCTCCTTCCCTTCGGCGTCCTCCTCAGCGCGGCGCGGCGGGCTCTCCCCCGCTGCCTGGCGGCGTCCCGAGCGCTGCAGGGAAATGGTGGGTTTGGGGTGGTTGTTGTTGTTGTTGTTGTTTTGGTTTTTTTATCCTTTCTCTCCCCTTTCCCGCCCTCCCCTTCCCCCAGCGCTTTGTGAGGGGCTGTGGAAGGCGAAGCCGGGGAGGGAGCGGCGGCTCTTTCTCCCCGCGCACAACATGGCGGGAGCGCCCTGCGGCAGCGGCGCTGGCGGCGCTCCAGCCGGGCCGGGCGGGGGGGCGGCCGGCCGGGAGGACAAAGGCAGCTCCGATAAAGCCGGCGCAGCCCCGGTGCTATAAATAACGCCGCCCTTCCCCCTCTGCAGCCTCCCGCTCGCTTTATAAACAGCAAAAGATGGAAGTCGCCTAGTGCAGAGGGGAGGGAGGGGGGAGTTAAAGAGGAGCAAACAGCGGCTTCCCCACGCGCAAGAAAAATAAAATACCAAAAAAAGCCACCAAATTCAAAGGCTGGGCAGTGTGGGGGGACTGGGGGCAGCAGAAGCGCTGGCCGCGGGAGGGGCCGGGCGGCGCCGCCGCCTCCCCGCCCGGAGCGGGTGCGCCGGGGGAGCGCGGCCGGCGCTCCCGTCACATGGCTCTTTGTTGTTCTCCTTCTCTGCCCCTCCTGGGCTGTTCTCCCCCCCCCGCTCCGCCATCGCCGAGCCGGGGCAGCCGCTGCCCTGCCTCCTCCGGCCTGCAGCGCTGAGCTCGCGGGCCCGGCTGTGCTGCAGTGGAGCCGCCATGGCCCGCCGAGGTGTTACATGTGCCGTCTTTTTTTTTTTTTTTTTTTTCTTTTTTTTTTTTTTTTTTTTTTTTTTCGTCTCCTGAGCAGATTCTGCTGCAGCTCAGCTTTGGGTGGAGGCTGGGGGTTATCTCGGAGCTTCACAAGCCTCGCTGTGCTCTGCGGGGAGTTGCAGCTCGTGCTCACTGCAGACCCAGAGTAGGTGAGCCAGGAAAGCCTGGCTCGAGCAACCACTTCAGAGGGCAGGACAGGGAGGAAAAGCAAACACTGTAGAGAGGTGGCCTCCCTGGTAAGGCTAGAGCAGGACCGTCCTGCGGACCCTAAGGGAGGGAGAAGGTAAGTGGCTGCTTGGCAGAGGCTGCCTGCGGGAGCGGCATGTGCCGGGCAGGGCGCGCCCTGCCCGCAGTTCCTGCGGCTCAGCACCAGCCGCTCCGTGGGTTTGTACAGCCTGTGCTGTGGTATGTGCCGAGACTCAGGGCTGTTCCCCTGCGAGGGAGAGCACTGGGTGCTGCCGCGAAGGAGGCACCGCAGCCCGCGCCTTTCACAACGACTGCGCTCATCGCTCCATTCCTCGCTCCCCCTTCTCGCTCCTCACCGGGTCAGGCTCTGTCGAGAACAAGCGACAAACCGTCCGCACAAAACAGAACACGTTTCCATGGAGGGGGAAAAAAATACCAACAAAAACAACTAACAAAAGCGTTTCCGCAGTGCCAGGCTGGCTCTGAAGCGCTGCCTCAGCGCTGTGAGCCCCGTCGGGGGCTCCGGGGCCGGGGCCGCCCGAGCCGCCGCCCGGTCCCTGCCCGGCCGCTGGAGCCAGCGCTGAGCCTGGGTCACGGCGGCTCTCAGTGACCATCTGCCAGCAAAATCGGAAGGAACGGTGACGTTATTCTTAGCAGAACACCATTGAAATGCTCCTCTGGTATTTCTCAGTAGAGGTGAAAAGCATTTCAGCTTCCTGGAAATGGCCGAAGCTGGCGACGTGTAGATCAAAGTACGGCGCAGAGCTGGGCTCGGGTTTGCAGGGGGATTTGAACTGTAGTGAAAACGTTTCTGCATCTTGGGTTGTAGTGAGTTAAGTCAGCACGTAAAGCGATTAAAAAAAGGGCAATTTTTGAACAGCATCGGGCTATTAACTTTCCTGGGATTTAAAATTTATGTTTAAATATATATTTGGCTGTTAGCAATACCTGCATTTACGAGTAACATTGGTCTGTTTAACCCTGAAGCAGACCAGCTCTGCCTAACGCAAGGCTTTGAAGCGACACAGCCAGACCATAATACTGTGGGAGCTTAGACAGCTTTGTCTGTACTTGCATCTCTCTGCATATTTTTCCAGGACTCTGATCTTTGTCTGCGATTAATCATTGTCCAGGACGGCTGTTCCCGATGGTAGGATCCATGAAGTGCTCCAGCTGGGAGAGGTCCTAACGCCTGTGCCTGGCTCTGCGTACGTGCAAACCAGGGCCAGAAATTGCTGGGGCAGCAGGGGCTGGACAGCGAGCCCGCCGTGCCCCCCAAGTGAATTGTGTGGGTCCTCAGCACTTCTGGAAATGGTTTTTGTAAGTCTGAGCTGAAAATTTCTTTCCGTTTTTTAAGAGTTTCTGAATGACTATAATGTTCAATGTAGTTTAAAAGTCGCCAAGGCAGTTGAGACCGGTTGTGCTCTCAGAGTGGGTGGTTTCATGGCTGCTGAACCTCGTATCTGAAAAGCAAAATGTTCTGGTACAGCGTGTTTAAATCCCAGAAAGGTCAAACCAGACTTTCATACTTGGGTTAGACTGACCCTGGTGTGCTGCATGAGACTTTTTAGATAAAGAAAGAGATCTTTCAGGGAGAAGGAGGAAAAAAAAAAAAAAAAAAGTTGGTTTGTGTTTTTTTTTCTGAACAGCTTGTGGTGACTCTGTGCACAGTCTTGAAGCAAAGGGGTTTGTTCTTGCCCACAGTGTCCCTCCCCGGCATTGCTGAGTGGAAAACTCTTATGCTAATTATATCACTGTCTGTTATCAATAAGAAGTGATTTAATTTCTTTGGCAAAGTGTTGCAACAAGAGCAAATTAGATTGAGAGGCAAAGTGAAATAAAAAATATGCAGCTGTTCTGCCAAACAATGATCCTGACTGTTTACAACATTTTGTTTTAGGCTGCCTTGTACACAGAATCCTTTATATTGAAGCTATTCAAGTCACAATCCATTGCTTGTGCAAGGAAACTAGATTAATAGATTATGAAAGACAAAGAGACCAAGGTTCATCTGGTTCGACATCCTGCATTATGTAGGTCTCGGGATTTTTGTGAATTTGTTGCTTTTCCTCATTTGAAAGAATTTAACTGCAGCATGCCTGCATCTTAAATGAAGATCACATTTTCATTTTAAAATGGGCTGTGAGAGGGAGTAAAATAAGAGTAAATTTTTTCCATCAAAATCTACCAGCCAGACTAGAAATCAAAGTACCTTTTTAAACTTGTCTAGTTTCTGTTTTCAGTTTCTGGATGTCTCTGCCCCTCAGTCTGCTTGGTGGAGGAATACTCCATGGCCAGATTTTCATCCCTGTGTAGCCGTGCTCAGGCTGAGCATTTAATACTCCATTGCAGACTGCAGAGCTCCCCCTCGGGTCCATCTTTACTAATCCTGGAATTGTTCCTGCCTGTGAATGCTCCAGTTTGTCACCATTTTGATCTGGGCAGAAGGGGACGGAGCCCTCGGCAGGGACCAGACCCGAGCCAACAGCGCTCCTGGCTGAGCTGTCAGGAATCCTGAGCTGTCAGGAATCCAGGGATTACACCGGCCCATGTTCAGCTGGTTTCCCAGCACGGCTCCTAAAATACTCTCAGATCTGCTCCTTCTTAGGATGGCAACCCTGTGCTGTAGGTTTGTGCTCTTTGTTCTGCATGTATGGCTTTGCTCTTGCTCCTCCTGAAAAGGACAAGCCCTTAGCGTTGTTGCTTACAATAGGCTTTTTTTTTAATTCTTATTTTTATTTATTCCTCCCCCCCCCGTGCTACTGCTAAGCGTCACCTACAAAGTTGGTTGGTCGTGATTTTGTATTTTCTCCAGATAAACAACTGGTTCTGTCTCCACTGTGGGTGTTTCCTGGTTCCGGGTGCGTGTACACACACCTCAGCCGTGTCAATATTGTGTCAGGAGGAGGGCTGGTTGTACAACATCCCCTTGCCACACCCCAGTTTCATGGGAAGAAAGCCCAGCTTAGGAGCTGGAAGGGAGCCAGGAAGCACACTGCAACATTTACTTGCCGTGGTGTCTATTATGTAGCCATTAAATAACCTAAGGCCCAAATCAGGTGGACTCGCCAAGGAGGGAGGACACCTCTGGGACACGGTGGTTACAAAGTGCATTTTGAGACCTTCCTGTTAGATGGGTTTTTCAGAGGTGGTGCCTCTACTATGTATTCTCTACTCAGCTGTTCGTTCAAGACCTAAATGCATTTGGGACTCCTTCCCCACTGCCAAATTTGATTGAGATTGGAGGGGGAAATGACATAGAACTACACAGTCACATTAGACAGTTTTATTTTTAGGAAACCAGGCTAAGAATATCGAAGGAATATCGAGTAGGAATATGGACATGGTATTTGCCTGTTCAGTTTTTCTTGCCATGAAATTTTCCATTTTTTTCCTGAGAACAGCAGATGATCTGTCTTGGGAATTGTCAGCCAAAATAAGCAACCTCTTGACAGATTTCACCTGTGTCCCAGCGTGCTCTGAGGGTACATGGGATGTGAGCCTTGAACAGTGACAGGGAATCACTAGTTGGCTGTGTTGTTTGGCTGCTGGGGTGCAGAGATACATGCTGATACCCAGTAGCGGAACAAACATCTACTTTTTTTTAAGATCCAGACAAATTTTGATGGGTATGTTGGATATTTGCCAGAGATTTTTTTTTTTTTTTGTTACTTTTCAAGCTGTATCTGTTCATTCTATACCTGCTAGTGTTATGACAAAGCCACCTCTGTGAGGTAGGGAGTGAGTGCTTTCAGAGATCTAATCATTCTTGAGCTATAAAGGAATAAAGAGGCTGTTTCAACACCTGACTTGCAGAATGTTTTGTGTTGCTTCTTGCCCATTGAAATGCAGCTGCTATTGAAACACCGTGATCCCATCGGGATGTAGAACCGGTTATTTTTTTAGAATGCTTTCAAGCTTATAAAAATCATGAAATAAATCAAGAAGGTTGGCAATTCTAATCAGCATTCTAAAGCCATCAAATTACAAAACAGTTCAGTGCTTCGTGGCCTCTGAACAGTACAGTTTTACAAAAAAAAAAAAAAAAAGAAGAAGAATGAAAAGAATGAAAGATTGTGCCATTTAGAGAAGCTGGGCACTTACAAAGCTTGCATCAAAAGGAAATGAAGATACAAATAAGTAATCTAAAAGGATATTTACGCATTAAATTACTTGTGTCTCTGGACACATCATTAAACAGTCTGGATGCAATGGTAGCTGGGGACCTGGAAGCCTTTTTAACACATGCAGCACATACAGGGAATGTTCTGATTCTGAGTGATGGAGTATAAAACGTTTGAGGCAGAAACTGATGACAAAGATCAAATGGAATGAGTTGAGCTTACAGGTCAGAGCTGTTCCTTGTCGCTGGTGTGATGTGACACAGGACCAAGACTGCTTTGCCCTTGACATTGTCACCATTGCTCTCAAACCTGCAGTTAAGGATTTGCATGTTGATTTATTGTCTGACAGGGCAGTTGGGAGTGCCCCAGCTGCTCCCCAAGCCCTGGTTTGCAGCCGAGTGGGCCAGAACGGGCAGGATCGGGGAAGGCTGTGCCATCTCTCGCCTTTCTGTGCCGCTGCATCGCAGCAGCTCCCAGTTGCTAAGCAGCTGCAGAGCTGTCTCTGTGCAAGGGGAGCAACGTGGGTTCCCCTTGATCGGTGGAGAGGAGCCGGCAGCATGGAAACGGGAGCAGCGGCCGTAGGAAAATCATTCCTTTCCTGGCTGGCCGGAGTGAAGCGAAGGGACACTTGGTGGCCCAGGAGCAGGGGGGGCAGGAGGGGAGGGCAGAGCCAGCATATGTGCACAGCAGAGGTTACAAAGACAGCAGATCCTGGCAGAGCAGGGGGCACACACCGAGGAGAAAGGAATGGGAGAGAGGCCAAATGCACAGTTCGGAATAAAAAAAAACCCCAGGAGGAGAGTGTGGCATATGGAGAGGGGAAATAAAGCAGAACTCACACAGCCTGTGAATAATTGAATAGAAAATACAGGAAGAGGGAAGGAGCTTGATTCATTACTGCCCTTCACCTTGTGGAGACAGCTACACCCAGGAAGAGGAGGTGTGGAATACAACAGCGTCCTTCATATTTCACAGTGAACTGTAGGTTTTACATTTCAAGCCCTGCCATTTGCGGTTTTCTCCTTTCACAGCCCCTGCCTTTTGTTCAGACTTGATTCCTGCAGGCTCCGTTCTTATCTTTGTCTACTTTCTGATTTATTTTTGTACTTGCTTTAGCTTTTTTTTGAGGGGGGGTCATTTTGTTTTTTATGGGAAGTTTTAAAATAAAATACTTTTCCCAGATGTTTTTGTTGTTTTCGCCTCCAAGAGAGCAGGCCATTGCTAGCTCCCAATTGAAGTTAGTTTCCACTAAATCCACAAAGCCATCGCTGCTTTTCTCCCCCTCTCTCTCCTGGGAGCTGCTGATGGAAGACAGGGTTCTCTTTGCTTCCCGACACCTTCCCCTGCTTGTTGTCTTTCCCATTCCCAGCTCGGTGCCTGCCAGCAGTCCGGAAAGGCTCGCGGCTCGCAGCGTGCAGGAAGCGGTTCCTGCGGCAGTAAATTATCGCAAACGCCTGACGTGCTGCAGAAAGGGGAGTACAAAAGTGTCACAAACTCCGGGGGGGGAAGGGGGTGACCAAAAGAGAACCTTGGTTCCACCACAGCTCCGCTGCTCACGTGAAAAAGCACTTTGTGGTGTCGGCACCTCACACGCAATTGGTGTGTAATAGGAAATGCCAGTGGAGCTGGCAGGGAAGGAGGGGAGCTGGACATTCCTCCCTCTGGCTCCTCCAGGCAGAGGACTGAGGGGCACGTTTGGGAGGGTGGGGAGAGGAATTTAAACTCTTGCAGCTGTTGCTCTCCTCTGTGACCAGCCCTGGCTCGCTTGGAGGCCTTTTGACTGAGAACACTTTTCCCCGGGTCCAAAATTGAGTCCTAAAAGGAAAACGGAGATGCCCACCCAGATCTACAGTGGAAAGGAGTTGCTGTGAGCTCTGTATGTGTGTGTGTGTGTGTGTGTGTGTGAAGTTCAAGCCAATAAAATACTTGACAAATACACAGCCAGATACGTTTTGTACTTGGAATATTTTTGTCTAAGATGTCTGATTCAGGGGAATGTTATATTTGCTTCCTTCTTCCATTTGCCTGGAGCCCTTATCTTTGAACAGACAGTGTCTATACTATTGTTAGACTCCAAGACCGTTAAAAGTCTTTGGGCACTGATGTTTTCCGAGCAGATTCAGCTGCCTTTCACACGGGGGCATTTTTAGCATTATGAGAGATGTAAGTTTAATTAAAACAGTTTTAACCAGGAAATCTCCCCGCCTTAAGAAATCAGAGCCACTGTGTTAATCCCAGCAGGCAACTGGGAACTTGACAATGTGCCTGTTGTTAGGATGAGAGTCAGGAAGGGTGAAATGTGTGTAGGAAGGGAGAAGCGCACAGGAAATGTGCCATCAAGGACAGCGGTGTGGGGCTGTGCAGGGCAGGGTGCCAGACCCGTGGGCTGGAGCTGCACTGTCAGGTTGCTGCTCTGTCTGTTCCTGCCCTCACCACCCCAAACCACTGCTGTGATTGCTCCAACACCTCCCTGACCCGCTCTGGTGGCTCACAGCGAGGACATCCAGCCAGGCCACTCTGCACGGTCAGCCTGTCCAGCTCCCACAGCTCGGGCACAGGCCAAAAATCGCAGCTCTCAAGCAAACACGACACAGTTACAACCATTTCCAGTGCCTCTAGTTATTAATTAGCCTGCTCTGAACATCGCTCTTCCTGTGCAGGGTTTGCTCTGGCTGGGTTATGGCTGCTCTCAGGTCTGAGGGAAACTCAGTCTGGGCCTGTCCTTTGCCTGGCAATGCTCTGACAAGCCACAGGTCCCTCTGGCTCCTGCCAAAACTCCATCTCTAGGTATAAGCTGCTTCCCTGCCAGATAACGGCAGAGCAAGCTTAGCTTAGCTCTCCCCATACATCTAACACTCCACAAAAACCAGGCAGAAATTATGGTGTGTCCTATTGCAATAGAAACAGAGGATTTTATCACCTCTTCAGCCTGCCCTTGCTGCCTTCCTGGGGGAAGTTTGCACAAATATGGAGGGGAGGATGCACACTTCATATGTTAACTGCCTTTTAATGTCAGTGCCATGCACTGCTCAGCAAAAACCTGCCCCTGTTTCATCCATGGTCCCTTTGCCATCTTTTTTTCTCCTCCAGTGAATATTCCCAGTTTCTCCACATTCTTGTCCAAAAGATTTGAGAGCTTCCTGCCTGAGGCAGGTGCAAGAGTGATGACCATGACATAACCAGTGCAGGAATGAGGTGTTGATCAAAGCCTGACTCTTCCAATGGCTCTGAAAAACACACGCTTGTTCAGGCTGCCCTGTAACTCACATGGTGGAAAGCGTTTTTAGGGGGCCAAGCCTGGGTTCTCTTAAACTTGATGTTCTCAAAGCCTCACAAAAAAAGTACAACCTCACGTTTTTTAGGTTTAGTGGAATCCTCCAACTGATTTTTGGGGAGTGTAACCCAGATTTGCCCATCCACAGTTGACTCACCTACTCCATATTAATCCCTGCTGTGTAAATTAAAGAACCTGAATGCAACTCCTGCCCTGGTGCTGTTGTCATCTTAATTAACATACACTCCTCTTGGATTCAGTCCTCCCTTGACTCTGAGTCAGCAGGAACATCAAAAGAAAATATTTCTCTCTACAAGGGATTACATAATTTGGGAATGGGAGAAGGGCAAAGGGATCTGAAGAAAGGAGATACTGCGGGGAGCACTCCAATCTTGAAAAAAATAACATCTCAGTGCTTGCTGGGTCAGGTGGAGTGTTGGGTAAGGAAAACACAGGAAGGCACAAGCCAGAGGAATTTTAGGGGTATACACTAAAGGGAGTGGTCAGATACTGGGTAAGAACGCATTGTGTTGCAACAGCCTCTTTCCCTAAATTTCCCAAAATTACTTCCTGATGGGATTTATTCTCTGCTGCAGATCTGGATGCAGAAGAGCACCCAGTGGTGACTGACTTCCTGCAGATCTGTAGCAGAGCCCTGTGCTCTCTCTCAGCCACGAGCAAGGCTTTGTCTCACTCCCGAACCCGCTGCCTCTGCCTGTTCCCATGGTAAAACCAACCCCAGCTACCAACACAAACACAACTGCAGATCTCACCTGAGTAAAGGTCTGAGGAAATCCCTCTGTCAAACCTCCAGATTCAATTCTCAGCGCAGAGGTAGAGATTGAGATCCAGCAACTCTGCAATGGCTCTGCCAGCCTGTGCTGTCAAATTCCTCCCCATGGCTCAGGGAAGCTGTGCCAGCACATCTGGGAGACACACATCGCCCAGCTCCGCGGGGGCAGAGCCAGGGAGGTGTTGGCACACACTGGCGTGTTCATTTCATGCTTTTCAGAGATCAGTCATTGTGTTTGATGTTCCAGAAAAGCATGGGATGATCTTAACCTTGTGTTACCCATTTTTCACAACAGAATCTGGATTGAGAGTTCACACTTCAGCACGCAACAGAAACTTGAAACTGCCCCTAAACCCCTACAGTATCAGGTCAAGGCTTTACCATGTTGATTTGCACACACTTCACTTTGTAGAGTGGGGTGGGTTTTTTTCCCCCACAGCTGCAAAGCCAAGAACTCAGTTTCAAATGAAAGGTGAGACTCTGAATGCAGCACGTTGGCCATGCCTGTGTCAGGTAGGCCATGTTTGGCCCATGTAGTTGGCACCCCTGATTTAAAGCACACCAGAGAGAAAACAACCCAAGAAACAGTCTGTGTTCCTTATAAATAGCTGCTCTCTAGGTAGTCATCAGTGTGTGGTTTATGAATAAAACCTGTCCAAACTACATCAAAGTGCCTGAATATTTGCTGCCTGATTTTGCTGAGTTGTGTGTCTTAATTCAGCTCACACCTCCCTTTGTAGACCCTTGTCCTGTTTTGTTTCACAGCCCTCTGAACTCTCTGGTAGCATTTGGACAGATTTTATTTAGTTTATCGAAAGATTTTTGCACTGATTTAGTGCAGGGGCTACTTGAGCCAAGTGAAACAGGAACTATTTCTGAGACATAAAAAGGCAGAAAGGAAATTTTCTTATTGAAATATCATTTTTCCATATTACTTAATAGTCTAGAAAGTTAATGCCTTTCTGGCAGCTCTTCCCACTGGGGAAAAAAATATAGTTCCTACTCAGCCAAACAACAATGTAATAATGTTTTAGGTTGGGTTAAACGTCTTAGAAACTGGCAGGTGTCACAGCCACCTTGCCTTCAGTGAAAAAAGCAATTGAGAGCCCTTATGGAACAAGGGATTTACATCAGTAGGGGCTACTACACAAAAAAAACCAGGCACATGGCAAGGTTTGAATAGATGGTGAATCATGTGGCCCAAGGGATTTTTCGGGGTGGGGGCGTGTGTGTAAAATATCAGGCTGTGAGGACCAGATGGTAGAGCTCTGCATGTGCGAGGGAAACAGCAAGAAGCTGCAGAAATGGAGACGGGGAAGCAGCTGAAAGGGAAGGAGGCTGGGAGCTTTGGTTTTGAAAGCTGCATTTCCAGGGTTTACCGAGGGTCAAAGCAGTGCTGGCACTGCGAGGAAAAGCACAGCTGAAAAACAATTTTGTACATTTGTTCTGTAAATAAAGTGAATCACCTTGAGTGTACACCTGCTTTGTCACGGCCCTCTCTGACACTGGCGCTGTCACCATGACTTTGTGTGTGCAGGTGCAGTTCAGCTCTCCTACATCACACTTTCCTCTTCCCTCCCTGCCCTGCCCAGGCTGAACTCTGTGGGGCAGACCCTCAGGAAGGGTCTGTGCCCATGACAAACAATTGCTGACCTTGTGCAACATCTGAAATTTATCACTCTACTTACACGGTAAGTCCCACTCCTTAAGGTCTGTCTTTCCTACTGTGAATTTTTCAAGGCGTTGCCTCTTGCTCCGTGTGTACATGCTGCAGAGGGAATTCTTAGCTGAAAACACAAATAATTCATATCACTGCTAATGTTAAAAAATAAATATTTCAGGCTCTGTCTTGTTATTTACATTCTTAACTAAGTTCATGAATATTTCCTTGGACATAATTGGGGCTACTTGTTCTTCTTGTCAAGTTTATGCTGAGGTCTTTGTGACTGGGGTCTGTCACAAAAAATTAAGTGTATTTCAAAAACATAGTTGTGAAGATATTTAGGAAGAACAGATGCCCATTCTTGTCCAGTTTATATGACCAAGGAAGAGTATGCAGCAGATGGCCTGTTGTCTCAGTTTAAATGAGACAAAAGGTCTTTTGCTGAGGATGGATTAGGAGAAAAAGACCCAAACCTTCTTTTCTAGCAATTATAGATCTGAAATTAAGAGGCTCCGGTTGAAGGGAAACAAATTATGGAAAAGGAAAAAAAAATAACAGCCCTTTATTAAAAGGTATGTGTGTATTAATAGGAACACGAAAAAAAACCAAGTAAAACAACCAAGCAATACCCGTATACCCACCAATAATCCCCTTCAAGAACAAAACCGATAAAACCGGCAAAAAAAGAAAATCAAATAGTTCAATTTTTAGCACCCTTTGGTGCAGTTCCAGCCACAGTCAACAGGGGGCGCCGTCGGGTCACTGGAGATGCAAAAACTTGTAATGTCTTATACCGTTCACCAGGTGGCGCTGTTGAGTTATCAAAAAGTGCAGAGCTTGTAATGTTCTATAGTAGTCACCGGGTGGCGCTGTTGGATCACTAGAGGAGTGGAACTTGCAATGTCCAGCGCTCGTCACCCGGCGGCGCTGTGGGATCCCTGGTCGCCGCCGGGTGGCGAGGGAGGAGGGGGGAAGGGGAAGGGAAACAGAAAGTTCTCCCAATGGAGGAAAAACTCACGACTCAGTTGGCGAAGATCTCGCGGTGAAAACCAAGCCTGCAACCAGCAAACAACTGCGCAGAGAGACAGCAGCAAAAAAAACTCCTCTCCCACAGGAAGAGACAAAGAAGCAACCAGGCAGTCTCTCCTCCCTGCTGCAACCTCTCCTCCGGCTCCAGAGCTGAGCTCCAACCCCCAAACCCCACCTCTTTCCATACACACACCCTGGCCTTTTTCCCAATTCCTCCCCCTTCGTTGCTAGGAGATTAATGTCTGGCCATTTAGGGCTCAGGCCAACTCCTTTGTTATCTGATGGCCCATTAACACATACACGCAGGAGGGGGAAGGGGAAAGGAAAGACAAAATTTCTTGCTAAAATCAGGACTATGACACCTGTGCAAACTGTGGCTACAAGAAGTACCAGAAGTGAGACCTTGCTGGTGAGCTAAAATACTTGTATTTTTCATTAGAAATATTACTGCAAACCATGCTGCTTAGCCTAAGGGCTTGCACTGTGCTAGAGCTTAACTGATTGGAAACTTAAAACTTCTACAGTATTCAGAGTTTCTCTAAACAGAAGGATGTAGCTAACCAGAATATTTTGTCAACGTTTATTATTTAACATATTTGTTGTTAAGATATTTATAATTTAAAAGTGGTTTTTGAGCAGAAAGGTTTACGTTTATGGTTCTTCTCCCTCACTTGACTCTCTGTAGTCACAAAACTCACAAGCCTTTAATATTATTCTCAGTTTCATTCACTTCTTCAAGAACTTCACAAGGGACAAGGAGAGAGGCAGCACAGGGCATTGGTGCCGTTTCCTTAGGTCAGAATAAGGACATGGTTGAGGTTCTTCCACGGTACCAGAACGGTCCAGGAGGTGGCAAGCGCTTTTTCCCCAGGCTTGGTATTTTGAAAAATGGGATTATCAACATCCTTGATCACCCTGTTTTGTTAAAAAGCTTCAATATTAAACCTCATCCATGAGTCTTTTTTGGATGTTCTCATAACTAACCTGAGTTGCCCATCAATACCATCTAAAAAAAAAAAAAAAATCTTAAAAATCATAAACTCCCAGCAGTTTTCCTGAGCAGTGTGCTAACCTTTCACTCCTGCCTGATTTTTTCCCTGGCAATCATCAAGCAACAAATTGGTACCAAGACTGGAACACGGATATTTGCCATAGCCCATTAAAACCTTGATTTTGTTGTGCTCTCTGTGAAGCTCCACACACATTTATTGTGTAAGGTTTTGACGAAACAACTTGTGCCAAAATCAATATACAGGCCAAAACAGGAGCAGGAGAAGGACAGTTGCAATTAATAATGATTAGATTTGAGTTTTACTAATAGGAGGCTGAATCTTCTTCCATTTAAATCAGTGGCACAATTCCTAATTAGACTTTGCTTTCTCGGAGTCAGCAAATTACGTGTAGCTTTGACATAGTACTGGATATGCCCAAAGCACTGCACACCTGGTAATTGAAAATAAGTAACTGAGACACTGAAATGTTGTATTTCATCGATAATAAGTTGACTTGTTACAAATAGAACATCCATTACTTTCAAACAGTCTTTGGAGTGTTTACAGTTGATTTTATCATCCGCTCGTTTCATGCTGAATCTAAAGGTGTACAAATCTCAAAGTTTCCTTAACAATAAATTGGAAAAGGAGACAAAGCTGAGAGAAATGTAAAGATTGTTTTGTAAGACTTGGGGAAAAAAAAAAAAAAAACACAAACAAACCCAAACTCAAAAAAAGCCTAACAATAGCCCTCAAATTACTTTTACCCCCCAAAAAACCTATTTTATTGTAATAACGGACTTGAAAAAAAACACCAAACCTGAATTACAGTCCTCAGTTACAGAAAGGCTACTAACTCTGCCTGCTGATTGTGTCATACATAGTGTGATGCTGGTTTTGAGCCAGGTCCAAATAAATCATTTCAGGATACAACAAATTCTTCCCTGGCCCATCCATTCCTGCACCGTCGGAAAGCCCTCAGCCATTAGAGCCCACAAGAGCTGATGGCTTTTTCTGTGTTCCTTCCAAGATTTATAACACTATGCTCCATAAAGCATCTTTTTGACAGATTCTACATGATTGCATCAACTTTTTCCTCAGTAAAATGGCGAGTTTTAAATGGGTGTGACTTTGACCGCCTTTTTATTATTGTAGTTTGAATTATATGACACTTTGTTGGCTTGTTACGGGTCGCTGCTCTTCTCTATTGCAGAAATATCCTCTTCTAGCGTTTTTGTTTGCCCTCTACACAAAGACGGGTCTCCCTCGCCCGAGCTTTGGAGCTCGATGGTGTTTGCGTTGGGTCTGGAAGGCCATCTAGTGACACAACCGTGCAGGGGAAACACAAAACCCTGTTCGAATTGTGCTGGTGGTTTTTTTCCCCTTAGTTGAATTAAACGATCTTGCCACACTCGAGCAATGCCCTTGGAGGGTTGTTGCTGTTCCCACAGGTGGTATTTCGAAAAAAATTTAGAGGAAATTTTGATTTCTTAAGAACTGTCAGGGTTGGTTTGAGACGGAGCAGCACATAGTGAATCCCTGCTTGGAAAGAAACACGAATTTTTGGGTGTAGAATGGTGGTGGATCAGTGTCTGAGCTGGTCTGTCACAAACCCAATGTCACTCCCCTGACCTGTGTATTGGAGCCAAACGTATACAGCGGTTGTGATCCCTTCCAGAGCCAAACTTACCCAGCTGTTGTGATCCCTGTCTTTCCACGGTACAAAACCCCACCATGTGGGTGCCTGAGGCCACCACATCTCTGCAATTAAAAGGTGAAATTCCAGTTATTTTCATCGGAGCTCACCTTGGATAGTGAGAAGGTGAGGAGCAGAGCTGTCAGCTCCTGCATCAGCAATAAATCCAGCAGAAATCAATCAGTGAGTCACTGCCCACCGAGGCGCCTTTCGGGGGTACCTCAGGGGTCTCTGCCTTCCCCACTGTGGCTGGCACCGCTCTCCCCTCAGCTCTGGGGACCGGACAGACATCGGGGCTGGACTGGCAGCATCCTCTCAGCGCTGGCAGCTCGGGGGGAACCAGCACGGCACAGGGGGTCTGAAGGTGGAATAAATGGGGATGGGGGAGAGCACCAAGTGAGCGTGGATGGCAGGGCAGAGGGGACAGGGCCTGATGAATCCAATGGATGGCAGGACAGAGGGGACAGGGCCCGACGGCGCTGGAGGATGGAAGGGCAGAGGGGACAGGGCCTGATGAATCCGGTGGATGGCAGGACAGAGGGGACAGGCGCCTCGGGAGCTCTCTGAGTGCACAGGCTGGGAGCAGCCCCGGTGGGTCTGGGGGAGACGGTGCTGAGGGGGCTCCCTCGGCGCCCACCGGGGCCGTGCCCGTGGTGACCCCTCACGCCTGAGGGCGGCTCCGGACGGGCGGGGGGAGACTCGGAAACCCGGGAGAGGCCCCACAGGCGCCCCGGGGGGACCCGGGCGGGGCCCGGCGGCACCTGAGGCGGCGGCGCGGCCAATCCCCGCTGGGGCGCGGGCGGCTCTGCCCGCCCCGGGCGCTGAGGGGCGAGAGGAGCCGCGTCCCGGCCGCGCCGCGCCCGCTGCCCGTCCCCGTCCCGCTCCCGCTCCATGGAAGCGGCCAACGGGGCCGTGCCCGAGGGCGCGGCCGGGGAGCCCCGCGGCACCGCAGCCGCCCCGTCGGGCACGAAGGAGGTGAAGGTGGTGATCGTGGGGGACGGGGGCTGCGGGAAGACATCGCTGCTCATGGTGTACGCCAAGGGCTCCTTCCCCGAGGTGAGGGGCAGCCACCCCCGCGGGGCTGGGGGGCCGCGGCCCGGGCCGGCCCCGGCTCCTGGAGCCCGCCAGAACCGCTCCTTGGAGCCACGGGATCAGCGAGGTGGGAAAAGGCCTCTGAGATCACCGCGGTCCTTCTCCTCCCTTTGCAGCAATACGCGCCCTCCGTCTTCGAGAAGTACACGACGAGCGTGACGGTGGGGAAGAAGGAGGTGACTCTGAACCTGTACGACACCGCAGGTAAGGGGCTTTCACCTTATCCCTTCCATTTCCCCAGTCCCGGTCGGGCTGCCGGGGGCGGTTCCTGTGCGGCCCCGGGATGGGACCACTGGGGCACCGGCCTGGGACTGAGCCCAAACCCGGCCCCGGCCTTTCGTAACTGCAGGCAAATAACCAGAAACCGCGTTTATTACTGTAAAATGTTGCTCCGGTGAGCGTGCCCCCATTTCTTTGCTTCTTCCTCTCCTGCAGACTTTGCTGTGTCAACTTAAACCAGACCGACATTTAAGGATTGTAAAGCTGGACAGATTTTCAGATTGCTTCTCTACCAGCGTGCTTTTAACATAGTATCACAGTTTAGACTGGTGGAGATTAAAGTACAAATAAAACAACCACCGTTACCTGTTGCACACAAAAATGTGCCTTCCAGAAAAAAAAGGGTCGCTTGTCTAATGACGGCTCTGGTCATGGACTCTTTCATTATCTTAGCAACTCAATTAATTCAGAAACACACATCAAATAGCAAACATATCTGAGGGTATTAAAACCCAGTTCCCAGATGCAAATCATAATACAATCAACCAGGAAAATATTTTAATCTGCTGCCATGTGTGATGGAATAGGGAAGGAGAAAAAGGGCTGGTTTGTGTTCAGAATAAAAAGGCCATGACAGTAAAAGTTATTTGAAAATGCTGATAGTCTGTTCAGGTTCATTTGAGGAACTTGTGAAATCGTTTGTGTTCAACTTCACTCAAAGTTCCCAGACTCTGTTATCCAGCTGCGCTCCTAAATGAACCCTAAAATTGACACGTGCTCCATTTCAGCTCAGTGTAAATCATCTGTTTCAGTTCAAGCCTGTGGAATTGTTCCAAATTTACACCAAGACAAACAAGAACCGAATGCAGTCCAGTCAATTTAATAGTAATAAAACACACTTACCATCCTGTATCCTGCATGTGGTATCTGAAAAGATAATTTTAAAGGCTTTTCATCTAAAAATGAATTTTATTGTTAATTTTTACTACAGGACAGTAAAATGCTGAGCACCCAGTTTGCTGTTGTATCTTCTTGTGTCAACATGACTGTCCTTGAGTGCAGTAGCTTCTATGGAATGGCCAGGGGTTTGGTTTTAAGTCCTAAAGGAAAAGAGGAGGGCTGAAATCTGGTGTGAGCAACCAAAGAGGGATTTCCTTAATACAGTGTGTTGACACAAAGAACTTTTCAAGTTTTGTTTGCTGTCGATGTGGAGTGTTTGCCTGTCACACAGTTCCTGGCTCTCATTTAAAATGAGGAAAAAAAAAAAATACCATGCTGCAAATTCCAACATTTGCCTTTGGAGCTGGATCTGGAGATGGCAGTGGGTAGGGCAGGTCCAGGATTGCAGCACTGAACTCCCTCCTGACCTAAGGGCCCACTCCTTGTGTCACTCAGAGCCCAGCTCTGCCCAAGACCCGCAGCCACCAGCAGCCCAGGGAGTGCTCCCTGAGCCTGGTGCTGGTGGCTTATCACAGAATCAGGATAGTTTGGGTGGAAAAGAGACCTTTAAAGGTCATCTAATCCAGCCCCCTTGCAATGGACAAGGACAACTGTATCTACATCAGGTTGCTCAGAGCCCCGTCCAACCTGACCTTGCGCGTTTCCAGCGATGGGGCAACCTGTGCCTCATTGTAAAAATTCTTCTTTTTATCTACTGTAAATCTACCCTCTGTGAGTTTAAAACCATCACCTCATGTCCTAGAATTTCCCTGTTCATGCATGTAACCAGCAGGCAGTGTGTGCCTTCCACATTGGGTTCACAGCCCTAAAAGTTGTCCTGGACCAAAGCACTGCCCCGCTGGAGAATAGAAGGGTGTATTTTGTGTCTGGTGAGACACTTTGGGAAGTGGAGCTGCCACTGTTGCCATGAAAGAGCAATTGCTTTCCGTTTCTCACTTGGAAACCTTGAAACCCAACATGTTTCACCTCCCAAAAGGGCACCGTGGCCACAAGGCTACAAGTTTCTAGAGGCTGCTGACACTTGTCTCCTCCCTTCCTGTTACATTTCTTTCACTTTTCATGAGACACAGCAAGATAATCAGGTGCAAAGAAAGCAGAGAGATTGTCACCTTGGTTAAGGCATTTGATTGGGAGGAGGAAATTTGGTTCCGTGTCAAGCTGTTTACCTAGTTTAATGTTACATATCTGTGTCATACTCTAATTCAAGCAGCTTTTCATCCTCTTTCTGTAACTGGAAGTTACGCTAGAGGAAAGACTCACTTGAGCACACATTTTAATCCCATCCTGTTTTTAAATAATACAAAACTGATGTTGAGTTTCTTAAGGGTTTAGACTAAGACCAAGGCTTGTGTCCTGTCCTCCAAGTTCAAATAGTGCAGTGAGAGAAGAGGAAAGGGAGGGGAAGGCAAAGCTGTTCTTCTAAAAAGTGCCACTGGATCTTCATGATCCCCCTACTGCAGAAAAGACTTCAGTATTTATAGGATCTTGCTCAGAGCAACACTAAATAGAGCTGTGTGTTCTTCAGCATCATGGGAAGGTAAAAGGTTCAGCTCAGTTTAAAGTTAGAAGGGTTCTTTGTGTTGTCAAGCCCTGTGCAGCTTGAGCCTTTGAGCTTGTCCTACTTTCTGAAGGAGAAGGACACAAACAGAGTGCCTAAGAATCAAACATTTCAAGCCGCTTTTTGTTGACGAGAATTTTGGTAACATGTGGAGCCAAGGAGTTAGTCTAAAATATCACAGACTAACAATTTTTGGCGAGACTTTTCTACTGTGCTGCTCTGTCTTCCTCCTCAGGCACCACTCGCTGTTGCAGGAAGTTGGTGGTGCACACACGCAATGGGTAAAGGCTTTGTAACATCGCTTGCCTGGTCTGCAAACAGGCTTTGCAGCCGCTTGTTCAGTTCAAAGCTTCCATTTCAAGCTGTGCTCCTCAGAGCCAAAGGCGCTGAGAGGTAAACGAACTCTAATTTTTGCATCCTAGGGGAGCGGTGTCGATGATGTAGCTGCAGCTCAGACACAGGGCTCAGTTCCTGGCGCTGCTCAGTGCAGGACTTTCTCACTTTTTTTCACGGGGCTGTGCTGGGCTGGGAGAGGCTGGGGAGGAAGTAATGCCTCATCATTGTGGGTGCTCGCTCTGCCTGACAGGAAGCACAGGCAAAGCCTCCAGCGGGGTTTTTCAGGTCTGTGATGACAGATGCACGACAACCTCAGGCCTTCAGAGGAATTCTGAAAGCCAGTGAATGCAAGAATAAATTTTTATAACTTTGAAAGGGAAGTCACGCCTGAATAAGAAAAAAAACCCCAACTTTTTGATTGCAGTGTGCCCCTCCTGCCTTATCTGTCCTTTTCTGCTGGTTTTCTTCCTGTCAAGAATGTCTGTTACCCAATTTTTAATTTTTTTTTTTTTTTTTTTTAACTGAGTAGTGAAAAAACACAGCTGGCAACTTACTAACCATGGCATTCCCATGGAGCCCATGGAAGAACAAACCAAAGAGGACTGGGTGCATTTCTGTGTGCCTGTGAGGACTCACCATTGCAGGGTTCCACGTGGATCCCAATGAATGTGGGATAGCACAGACAATGCATGGCCGTGTGTAGGAAGTGCTTGGCTGGTCTGGGCTGGGAGCAGGATGTGACATTATTCCTGACCCTCCAGAGCTGGACAGCACTGCTGGACATGAGGGCAGCACGTACTGGACGCTTCTGGGCTGTCAGGTCTTGACTCTCTCATTTACCCTCTCCTGGCAATGGATGCTGAGCTCCTTTATGGACTGAGCAACACTCAGGCTGGAGCTTCCTTGGTGTTGAATTGGCAAAGGGGTGAGGAGGAGCAGACAGGTGAACGTGCATGTGAGACCAAGACCTGTGGTTTCACTTCTCCTGCTCACCCTCACCCACCTCCTGAGCTCCCACCCCACTGCAGGGCCCGACTGCAGTGATGTGGGTTATGCAGCATCTCCCAGAGGAATACAGGAGCAGGAGCTTTGCAAAGAATTAGCAAATTTTAGGTGAATTCAGGTAGGTGGAGTTTTTTCTTTAAAAAAACCCCAAAGTCTCTGATGCTACAATGGATTAACAAAGGCAGAGGAATCACAGATGTGCTCACATATATGCAGATATTTAACCAACTCCTCTACAGCGTGCTTTTTGTTACTTGGGGAAAGAAAACAGGTACCTGTGTTTGAGGAAACACACACAGGGGCTTTGCATATACATTCAGTTACTGCTTATTTTCAGCCCTGTTCCTTCTTTCTGAAACTATTCTAGTAGGAGACCTAAATTTGTGCCAAATTAACTCTGACCACAATCTGAGCAGCTTTAGAGAGAAAAAGTCTCCCAGGCCCTTTCTTGCATTTCATCAGCAGCACTTGAGGACAGGGGGTGGAAGGGATTGTTTTCAGTGAGAGGGATGTCTATGTTTAGGCACAGCTTGATCTGGGTCCCGTTACAT